TGCAGCTCCTGGGGCTGGGCGGGATGGGGAGGGGGCATAGGGAACACGCCAGTGGGGCGCTGGGGAAGGGTCACCTCCTGCAGCAGGGTGGAACTGATCCAGTATTCCCCATTCCCGCTCCAGCATCTTCACCGCAGCTCCAGCCCCCTTCACTTCCAGCCTGGGAAGAAAGCAGGGAGCAGGTCCTACAGGCAGGGGATGGGGATGCTGCATGGAGCAGCCCTGCCGCCTGGCACAGCCAGGGCCGGGCTGCCCCTGCCCCAGCACAGCCGGTGCCTCTCGCTTTCAGATTCACTCCTCCAGCCTCTTCTGGAAATCCCAAAACATAACAGCGCCGTCAGCTCTTCCCACTCGTGCCTCCCCTCCATCCGGCAGCCCCTGCCCTGCCTGCAGCTCAGCTCTGCCCATCGCTCCAAGCGCCTGGCACCAGGCCCCCTCCCTGCTCCGCAGCCCCTGCACCAGCACCACGGGGGAGCAGTGGGCGCAACCCCTGACTCCCACCCACCACCGTGGGAAGCTGCCACAGACCCCACAGTGCAGGAACAGCCTCAGCATCCCCCAGGGATGTGGGCTTGGGCAGCTGCTCCCCAGGTCCTGCTGGGGCTGGTTGGAGCCCAGACCTGTCAGGGGTCCCCATGGACCCTCTCCCCAGCTGCTGTGCAGGGCTGGTGCGAGCTGCTCCCTCCCACACCGAGGGGTCTCAGCCCGTGGTGATGGAGGGGCTGGCAGAGGACCCCTGCTCCTGCTGTGCTGGGGAAGCAGCAGAACCACTGCCTCCAAACAGGTGGGGGCAGGAGGAGCACGGCGTGGACCCTCCAGCACCAGGGCAGGATCAGGCCCCGGATGGGCTTGTTGATGCCTGATGGATCAGCAGATGCTGGGAACGCCGTCCGGGTTTGACCTCCCGCAGCAGCGCTGGCCCTGGGCCACCCGACCTTCACGTGAGGCCAAATCCCACGGTGACGCACGGCAGTGACGGGGATGTGCCCAGCCCGGGAGCAAGCAAGAGCATCAACCTCAGCCTGCAGCACCCACGGCTGATCCCTGGGCAGGAAGCAGCAGCATGCGGCCCCAGGAGGACAGGGAGACCCTGCTTGGGTTCCCAAGGAAACCGGGCACAGACCCACGCCGGCACTGGCCTGTGGCTGCATGGAAGCACCAGGAGGTCTCTCGAGTGTCACTGCATGGGGCACAGCCCGGCTGGGACACGGGGTCCCTCCAGGTGCCCTGAGGAGGGACAAATGGCTCTGCTCAAAGAACCAGGGCCCAGGGGGCAGAAGAGCGGGGCTGTGCCGGCCCCACAGGAACAGCCCCCACACCGGGTATTAATAGCACCGGAGCAATCCCAGCTTTAAATAGGCTGCCAGGAGTGGGGAGGCGGGTCTCGGGCAGACAAGACCTATTGTGTTGGTGAGCACCGCCGGCAGAAGCACAATTAGGGGGGCTCACTGAGGAAAACACGCATGTGGCCCCCTGCCCACCAGACCCCCAGAGACCCTCCGGGGCCCAGAACCCTTGCCCAGCCACAGTACGGCTCTGGGGAGGTGTGGAGAGCAGGTCGGGCGCTGGCCAGGCTGGGCCCAGGGCTCAGCATCTTTGCAGGAGCGAGAATGGGAAAGCAGAAGGTGCTCGGGAGCCAGGCTCAGGCATCTCCTCACCAGCACCCATGGGTGCCTGAGCAGGACAGGGCGATGCTGCGGTGCAGCAGGAGCAGTGTGGCTATTCGGGAACCCATGGGCTCAGCAGTGGCTGGACAGGACAACCCAGGGGCACACAGAGACAGGCCTGGTCGAGCAGTACGCAAAGCCCGAGCCAGGCTTTGCCCTTGGGGACCCGGGTGCCAGGAAGGGCAAGGGGACGTGAGGCAGCCCTGGCACGATCAGCGCCAGTGAGCCCGGTGTCCCCGGTGCCGCAGGCGGGGGCAATCACCAGGCGCTGATGCGGGGCTGCAGCTCCACAAACCGGGGGCGGGGGGTTCAGCGGGCACGGGCAGCGCCGTGGGCAGGCAGGGCCGGTACCCGCGGCTCCGGGGTCCGCGGCACCCCGGGGGGCACTGCTCGGTGCCCCGAGCGCTGCGCAGGTGCCGGGGGGGGGGGGTGGATCCCGGTGCGGGGAGGGGCGGGAGGGGCCGGCGCGGGGCTCTCACCTTCATGATACTGGCCCGGGGCGCGGCAGGCGCGGGGCTCCGCTCTGCTGAGTCCTCGCGGCTGCTGCTGCCCGAGCCCGACCCGGGGCTGCCGCCGCCGCCGCCGCAGGGCCCGTTGGGCAGCGGCGGGGCTGGGCGCGGCGAGCCCGGCGGCGGGGGGGGGGCCCGGGGCCCCTCCGCCATCCCCCGCGGCCTCAGGGCAGCGGCCGCCGCGGGGCCCCGGGCGCCCCCGCAGCCTGCGCCCGCCGCCGCCGCCGCTGCGGGCTCAGTGGCGGAGCGGGCGGGAGGCGGCGCCGCCGGGAGGAGGGGACGGGCCGAGGGCGGGGACGCGGACGGGGATGGCGCCCTCCCCCCGCCCCCCCCCGGGCTGCAGTGTCTGGGAACGGGGCTGGGGCACCGGGTACCGAGCATCATCCCCCAACACCGGCCTCCGCCCAGTACCGCAGCTTCCGGGCCCGGCGGCTGCCCCATCCCGGTGGGACCGCGGCCAAGCCCGCACTCGGCACCCACAGGGAACCGCACCCCGCAGCCTTGGTACCTGCAGCCGGCACCCGAAACACGCTGCACCCCGCAGCCCGGCACTCATACTGACCTTGCACCCAAACCCACCCTGCAGCCTCCAGCGGGGTCAGTGCCTCGGGCACCGGGTGGAGCCCCGGCCCAGCACAGCTCTCCCGGGCAGGGGGTCGGGGCTTTTCCCAGGGGCCGCGTCCCTGCGGGGCCTCCGGGGCGGTTTATGCTGACCCTGGATGCCAGCACCTGCGTGGGGAGCGTGGCACAGGCAGCAAGACCAGCACCGTCGGGCTCTCTCGGTTGGATGCTGTCTCACAGGTCTCTGCTGGCTCAGGGCTGTCCAAGAACCCCCCTCCATGCCCGGCTTTGCCCCCCACCTCCATCCAGCCACCACCCACCACTCCCCTTTAAATCCCAGCCCGTTCCCAATTGTCCAATGGAAAATTATTGAGGTGCAGGATACATAGAGAAAAAAATCGAGTCCAGCTAGAGAACATAGTGAGAATTGTCACAAGGTAAATCGTTCTAGTTGGCATAGTTTTAAGAAAAACAGCCTAGAAGAACATGACACAGGGATAAGGAGTATCTGGGAACCGCAGGGGTCCAGGATGGGCTGCAGGTAAACTAACTGATAAGTAGGAGGACAGGAGGATTATTGTGTCTCTGGTGCTAACGAACCAATTAAAGTGGTATGAGCATCTACTGCGCGTGCTTCAGAGGCTGCCAGAAGTGATGAAGATTGTTGGAAGAAGTAACCGACCCTCAGAGACCAGCACCACAATTGTGTACGCATGGGGGGAACTGCCTGGAAAGGGATGTAATCTGTATGTAGCCTCATGAATATGTATGTATGCCCAGGGACTATGAAAGGACGGCTTGTGTGGCACTGGGGACACCCGTTAGGAGGAGCTCTCCCCGCGTCTCCCGGCGCCGCAATAAAGAATACCTTCTTGTCAGCTTGACAACTTGGTTGGCGAGTTTGTTCCTGGAGTTTTATCCGAACCACCTGAGACATCTGCTTTTGCCCCAGGGCTTTCCAACCCTTTCTGAGGGCTCCTGAAGCTAGGCACCCTGGAGCGGAGAGGAGCCATGGGGATATGGAAGGAGTTCTCCTGTGAGCTGTCACCATCCAGCCTGGCCTTGGCATGGGCAGCCCCATCTTCTCAGGGATAATGTTGAGTTCATTCAGTTTAACAAGGGGACATCAAGTTAGGGTGTCCTGGGCCATGCCAGCCCCTTGCAGGCCAGCTGCTGGTTCCCCATCCAAATCCCATCAGGCACCGGAGCACCATGTCCCCACTCAGTGGCACCTCTGGGGGTTTGGGTCCTCAAGGTGAGTCTGTCCCCAAGCTGCATCCCCATTCCACCTCAGCACAGGTCCAATGGGGCTTTAAGATGCTTATGGTATAGCCAGGGGAGGTCTTGGCTTGAAAGCAACCTTAGGTGGACCAGGAGGCCCAGGACTCTCCAGCCTGCAGGGAAGGGGCACTCAAGAACAAATGCTGTTTTTCCAGTAAGGCAGCACAGGAGTGAGCATCGCAACGGGTGTGACGAGCTGGTTTGGCAGAACATTCCTTAACCTCCCACTGACCCCTCCCAGCACCCGGGTGATGCTGGGTTCGTGGGACACCACTCACTGACCTCTCTGGGAGGGACCGTTTGCTCTTTACCTTGGGAAGTTAATTAACTTCAGGTCTCTCTCCTGCATCAATTGCATTTCTTGTACCCTCCAGCGGGTGTTTGTTTCCTTTTAATCTCTCTTCTTCTTAGATATATATGTATTTTCCATTGCATTTAGTTTTACCTTGCCCTCCAGGCTCTGTCCTGCATCTTCTGCCTACCAACAGATGGAAGCAGCAGCTGGAAAGACGAATTCCCAGCTTTTCTGTGTAGGTTTTCTTGGAGGTCTCTGCCTGCCTGGCTTTCCCCTCCCAGCCTGGGGCAGGTTTCCTTCCATGGCAGGGCTTAAGAAGCATTAAAAGCCTTCAAAGATCAAGCCCATGATTATGATTCTGGGGAGGAATCACTCCAGCCACCCCAGCGTATGAACGATGGGGTGGCAAAGCCGAGCTGGATTCCTCCTGGCTTACCCACTGCAATAGTAAAGGTGGTTGGCTGCTGTTTAATCCATCCTGACCTCATCCCTGGCAGATGAGGATCCCTAGCAGACCTGGGTTTGGTACCCGGTGGTGTGACAGCAGGAAAGAAAAGGGCTGAGTGAAGGCAAAACAGGGCAAAGCTACGGATGAAGGGGATGGGGCAGGCAGGTGGGGCATCGGTTCTGCCCTAAAGCACTGGGATATTCTCTTTTCCTTAAAAAAGCCAACAACACACCATCAAACAACTGAACCACTTAAAGGGTAAAAGTGGATTTAGGGATAGGCCAGAGTCCTTTTTCATGGAGAAAAAGTGAAGTGGGTCTCATTGCATCACTGTGGTCTTAAATCCTCAGGGAGGGGCCTGGGGACTTCTCACTGAAGTGCTTTAGCAGATCTCCAGCCCTTCCAAAAGCTTTCTTGTTCTGTTCCACCCTCCCAAAAGCTTTTCCCCCAGCCTGGCAGTGATGGGAACAGGCTCCTAGGGCAGCACGGGGCCCCTCTCATTCCCTGCTCCCTGCAGGCTGCTCCAGGCAGATCGGCTTCTCCTTCGCCAAGCCCAAGCTCTGCGCCTTCTCCGGTCTCTACTATTGAGACAGCTGCCACCGGGACGAGGAGACAGTGATTCCCTCACGCCTCATCCACAACTGGGACCTGGCAAAGCGAGGGGTGAGTCTGGGCTCAGTCAGTGCACGGAGCAGGGAAGTGCTCCTGCCTCTGCCTGCGCTTCCTGAAGGTCCCTGTGAATGTTCCCAGCAGCAGCAGAGGTGGAGGTGTCCACCTTAGACCTTCCTCCGAGCCTCCTGGGCTGCTCCTGGGCGCGTGCCCACCTCTTGCCTCCCTCTGCCCCAGGTTTGCCAGCAGGCATTCAAGTTCCTCAGCCAGATCCGTAACCAGCCGCTGATCGACCTGAAGTTGGTCAACGAGAGCCTCTACGAGCACGTGGAGAGGATGGGACGGATCCTGCGAAGCAGGGAGCAGCTGAAGCTGCTGGGGGATTATCTCATCATGTGCCGCAGCGGGGCCCTGAAGGAGCTGAGCAAGCGGTGAGGTCCCTCTCTGGGTGATGTTCCTCCTGTATCCCCCTCTTTGCACCCCGATGGTGCCCCTTATCCCTCCCTGTTGGAGCAGGGAGCCAAGGCATGGGCTGGATTTTAGCTCCATGTCGTCTGCTCTAAGGAGTTCTCCATCTGTTGACACATTGAGATGTGACTCAGGAAACACCTTCCTGAGAGAGCTGCTTCTGGTTGGACAGGAAACACCTGCGAAAACAGATGAGATACTGATTTTCTTTTCTTTTTGCCCCCTTTAAAATGCTCTCACACGATTCCCAGCAGCAGGATTTGGGATGTGGGGCACGATGTGAACATCTGTGGTGATAGTCTTCAAGAGTCTGCATCATCCAGGCTTCTCCTTGTTCCAAAGCTTATTGGAGATGTGGTGGAAACCATCTACCTCCCTGCTCTCTTCTTTTGCAGGCTTGATCACAGGCACTACCTCTTGGAGTATCCCCACAAATACAGCGTCGCTGACCTGAGGCAGGTGAGAGCTCTGTGTGGTCACAGGGGTTTTGCTGGTGAAAACATCCCAGGTTTTCCTCATGGAGATGCTGCACTGAGCATGGTGCTTCTCCAGCTCTGAGAGCTACAGAGATGACACAGGGATGAATTGTTTCACCTCTGTTTAAGCCAACATTGCTGTTAGCACCCCTCCAAACAAACCTGTATCTGCTGCAAATAATGTTGGAGGTGATGGGCAGTTGGGTTTTGCACTGATTCCCAGCCGTGGGTGCTGCTCTCAGCTCTCTCTGGGCTCCCATTGCAACCCAGACACATGGGGTATGGGTTGTTTCTGGAGCTTGTCTTCCCGTGGCAGCACAAAGGATGGATGTGACATGGGGTTTGTGTGGTGCAAACCCACCAGGAGACACTGCACGAGTGCCTGAGCAGTCTCTGCTCCACAGATAGCTGATGGTGTCTTTGAGACCTTTCTGCAGTCTCTGCTCCAGTTCGCTTCTCACCACGTCTACAACTGTGACCTGTGCACCCAGCGCGGCTTCATCTGCCAGCTCTGCAACAGCAGCGACATCATCTTCCCCTTTGAGTTTGACACTACCACCAGGTCAGTGACACCCCTATCACCCCTCCCTGCTGCAAGGGCACCCCCGAGCTTGTGCCCTGCCTGCTCCCAGGAGCCCGGACCATCGCTGGAGCCCTTTTAGGGACACAGTCTCAGAGTGGCCTAGAAATAGCTCTGAGCTGGTTGTATATCGTCATGGTACCCATGCCCTTGTGGTACCCATCAGCCCCAAGATGATCTGAACCTAAACAGGGCTGTTTGGGGCAGGAGAAGACCATCCTCACAGAGCCAACGTGTCACCAAGTGAGGTGGTTTTGCAGATTGAACATGGCAGAGCCACCCAGCACCTTGCTCTCAGCATGCAAAAGCAGGCTTGAAGGGACCTTAAAGCTCCTCCAGCTCCAACCCCTGCCACGGGCAGGGACCCCTTCCACTGGAGCAGCTTGCTCCAAGCCCCTGTGTCCAACCTGGCCTTGAGCACTGCCAGGGATGGGGCAGCCACAGCTTCTCTGGGCACCCTGTGCCAGCGCCTCAGCACCCTCACAGGGAAGAGCTTCTGCCTAAGAGCTCAGCTCAGTCTCCCCTCGGGCAGGTTAAACCCCCTCTGCCTACAGTGGGGTTCAGAAGGGGTTCTGCTGGGCAGAAGTTAGGATCAGAAGGGGGGGGTTATCCCACTGTCAGGGTTTTCCTAAAGACATAATACCAAACCCTTCCAGCCCAGGAACCTGATCCACTGTAAGTGGAGAGAGAGCCACACTCAGTGGTTATTCGGGAATGAGTATAATCCTGACAGAGAAGTTTCACAGGCTGAGGCTTTCCGCGTGGTCTTGCTTTGCCTGGCAGTAACATCCAGGACCTGCAGAAGATACCAACAAAACCAGGGTCTGCGGGCACCCCATGCATTAAATGGTTGCAAATATTGCCAGGGTGCCTGAGCAGGATTGAATCGTGCTTGTCACCAAGGACAGCATCCCCATGGGAACGGTTTTCCCTTAGGAAAGGAGCCCAGGGGCCCTGGCAGGAGCAGCTCTGCCGGCAGCGGGCAGACTCTCAGGACTCACTCCAGTCAGAACCCCAGTGTCTGCAGAACGTGCACCAGCCCCTCGAGCCCTGGCGGGAGGCAGCCCTGGCCCCACAATACAATGGGGAGGGCTCTGAAGAGGAGGACTCTTCTGAGGAGTATGAGACATCCCGCTTGGAAACACTGTGAGTGCAGGGGCCGGGTCCCACCGCCAGCAGATCCCAGGGGTCTGCGTGGGGAGCGAACCCAGCACCACAGAGCTGTCCACTGGGACACTGGGGGTGAGGGGAGGTTTCCCAGAGCCGCAGCAGAGACTGAAGCAGACCCCTGACGTGTTTCTGTGTTCCGCCTGGGCTGGAGTCGCTGCCCCGGGTGGCGATGCTGAGTGTTTGTGCACACCTCTGTTCTTTAGCAAGCTGTCCAACGACACGGCCTGCTGCCTCTGCCAGCACAAGCACAGCACCGAGACCCCGTGCAGGACCCTCAGCTTCGACTGCACGAGCGTGTGCAGCACCAGTGCTCCCCGCTGCGGTAACTGCCCCACGGCCCTGCCCGTGCCCCCAGCCAGAGCGAACCCTCTGAGCCTGCGTCTGCCAGAAAGCTGCTTGTCCCTCATGTGCTCTCGCTGTGTTACAGCTCCCCTGGCAGAGACACCAGGGCCCCTGACGGGAGCCGTGCCAGCCAGGAAGGGGAAGAGCAGCTCCACGTTGGAGATCCGGCCCAAGGAGCCCTCGCTCAGGGAGCAGAGAACAGTCACGCTCACGGTTGTCCTGAGCCTGAGCAGCCCCGATGCGTCGGCACCTTCCCCTCAGCAGCTCTCGAGCCAGGAGAGCGGCACCGCCAAGGAGCTGGTGCGGATGCTGCAGAGCGTTCAGCACAGGGGCTGGAGCAGCTCCACTGACACCGGGAGGTTCTATTTTCTAGCAGAGGGGCTCGTGGCACAGCTCAAGACCAAGCTGCACAAGCCCGTGAGCATCCTGACGGTGAAAAGCCCCAGCACAGCCCAACCAGCGCAGAGCGACGAGGGGCAGGAGATGCCAGCAGGGCAGGGAGGAAGAGCCACAGGCTGGGAACAGCGTGAGCCTGGCCCATACTTGACCCGGGCAGAATCCATCCTTTGGGAAGCAGCCCGGAGGGTGGACATCAGTGACATCCTGCCTGTCTCCGGCCACCAGCGAGCACGTCCTGCAGCACAGCTCCCTCCATCAAACCCAACAGAGGCCCTGCATCTGACCCAGGCTGGTTGGAGTCACAGCCACTCCAATGCCCTCCAACAAACCAACACGGCTCATGGGATGGAGGATGAGGAGGGGGCAGAAGTCCCGCAGGAAGCACCAGCTCCAGCTCTGGACTCTGCTGGCACCGGCAAGGAGCAGAAGCTGAAGGGCAGGGACAGGACAGCGGGCAGCAAGGGTGCAGAGGAAGAGCTCCCAGCAGCAGAGGGTGGAGCAGAGCAGAAACTGAGCAGTCTCCAGCGTTTCTTCTATGCTCTGCTGGCTGACAACAGCCCCCCTGCTGCCAGCAGCGCTCCAGAGGCCACGGCTGCAGCAGAGCGTTCCCCTCGGGGCGGGAGCCCACCCAGCGCCCCTGCAAGCACCACCACGCACGGGCAGCACAAGGAGCAGGAACCGCCTGTCCCAACAGCACCCGGCAGCTCCAGCGACCCGGGCAGCGTGGCCACACCAGGAGCCCTCTTTGACTCCTTGCCCAGCCGCCACCGGCACCCACTGGTGCCAGACCGAGCCCTGCACGAGTTCACTGAGAGCGTGGCTCGAGCCCTGCGTGGGGACTGTGGCCTGCCCCAGTTCCAGCTGGCCTGCACCAGCATGCTCTCGGGGCTGGAGCTGCTCCTGAAGCTGCTGAGCGAGAGGCAGCGCGACCCGGAGCCCTCGGACCTCCTGGAGCAGTGTGTGCGGGAGGAGGATGCCGGCACCTCGCATCCCCGTGCCCAGCCCAAGGCCATGGACAGGGAGTCTGCAGAGATGGTACGAGAGAGCAGGGCACTGCTGCGTGTGTGTGCACAGTGGGAATGGAGGGGGCCTCCTTTTCCTCTCCTCTCCAGCCTAATGCGCCCTCCTTTTCTCCCAGCAGATGGCCAAGCCCACCTCTGGTCGCACGTGGCTGCTGGCGCTCTCGATGTCCGCCATCATCACATCTATTACAATTCTGGTGGTGTGCTGCGTCAAGGTGAGCCAAGGACTCATGTGGCAGAGCGCTGCCAGCCAAGCCCTGGGGCTGGGTGCTCCCACAGTGCTCATGGGCCCCGGGTGCTGCTGCGGATGCCTGTGGATGTGCTGGGGAGCACAGGAGATGTTCTCCCAGGCTTGAGCTCGTTGTGCTACCCGCACCCTGGGGCTCGGAGGGGTTCAGAGCTGCTGGGAGCAGCTTGTCCTGGCTCCTGCCAGGGTCTGTCCCCAGCTCTGCTGGGCAGCTTCCCAGCAAGCAGCTCCTTCCTTGAGCAGGGCTGCGGCCCCCTCTCATCACAGCCTCTGCCATCAGCCCTTCCCGGGCTCTATCCCGCAGTCCCTCACCCCAAGCATCCCCTCCCCAGCTCCTGTCCTGGCCTTGCTCTGCTGCAATGCCCGCTGCTTCCAGCCATGCTGCAGTGCCCCTGCTCCCTGCCCTGAGCCCATACCCAGCCCTTCTGCATGGTGCTGTGGCTCTGGTGGCTCGGGGCACCATCGTGCTCACAGTGTTTGAACCTCCCTTTGGGGCCCTTCTCCTCCAAAGAGACAAATGAGCTTTCATGTCTTTAGAGGCCATCGTGCGTGTTGCAGGCAGCGGTTGAAGGGCAGGGGGACCCTGCAGAGAAAGGCAGACATCAGCAAGGCTGAGATGAGGAGTTCTGGGTCATTCCAGAGGCAGGGAGCAGCTGGGAGCTGGGCAGGGAGGCATGGGGGGGCTCTTCCTGAAGGCGTGCCTGCTGACACAGCCTTGCACGGGTGTAGAAGGGGCTGGGCTGGAGGAAGAACCTTCCGGCTCCCCGTGCTGCAGTGTTCCAGGAGGAACCCCCGCGGTCTGAGTCTCTGTCTCTCCGTCACCAGGTCTGCGCCAAGAAACCTGCCGAGGATTCCCAAGGCAGCAGCACATGGTGCCTGCGCCTGCGACGGTAACTCCTGCCCTGCCCCAACAGGCTCTGCTCCGGCAGCGCCCAGCCCTGCCCAGTGCCCCCCCGTCTCCTCCAGCACCAGAGGAGCTCATCCTTGGCTTCTCGTCCCCTTTCTCCCGCTTGTCTCCAGGCGCTTTCAGGACCTGCGGCCCAAGGGGTGCAGAAGGAGCAAGGACGTGGCCAGGGACGAGGAAGAGGTAAGGGCAGGAGCAGGCCCCAGCTCCTCCCGTCTGCCCGCTCCCTGCCCCGTGCCTGCATCTCACCGCTCCAACCCCTGCCCTCCCAGCCCTCTCAGGAGTCGGTAAAGTCCGAAACCCACTGGGTGCAGCACGCGCTCCAGCACCTCAAGGCCTGTCAGGAGCCGGCCCTGGGCTCACGCTACGATGGGGAGAGCTCTGAAGAGGAGGACTCTTCTGAGGAGTATAAGACAATGTAAGTGTGATGGTGGCGATGCCAGCACCCGAGTTCAGCTCTTGGGCCATGTAGGAGCTCATGAGACTCTCCTTGGATGCTGTTTCCTTTCTGTTGTTTTCTTGGCCGCTGTTTCCTGGTTTATTATGTACTTGCTGTTCTGCCAGTGCTGCTATGTCCTCGCTCTCATTTCAGCGCGGTGAGCATCGGATCCCAAACACTCCCTGCCATACAGCCAGTGGATTGAAATTTGGCCTCTGGCTCCTGAGTGCCCAAGATCTGGAGCAACGGTCCCTGCCATTGGAGCAGGATGCTGCAGGCCCCTGGCTGCTCAGGACATCCCACATATAAAATACGAACTTACTCCTCTAAAGAAGATAAGGTTTTATTGAGGGAAAAAGTCAATAAAGCAAAAGCAACAGCGCAGGGCGCATACCCATAGCGAGACGTGCAAGTGATGAGTATTTGTTCCGGGTTTATTTGCTTTCACTATTGCATTAGTCACATACAGATTCATAATTCCCGCGTGTAGGCGGGGAATATTACAACTAGCTCCAGGAACTTATTATCCTAAGTCTCCTCCTCTTGGCGTCTGCACACTGCTCTCCATTGATTGTATGCAGGGGTCTTGGGGATGAAGTAAGCAGTCTTCCTCACCGTGTACTTTTCACCCCTGGCACAGCTGGGCGCTGCAGCAGTCACACAACTAGCTGAAACCAGCCATATCTGTAATTCTCCTGATAACTAGCAAAGATTTAAAACAGTGTGACCTTTCTGCAACATTTATTGCAGGACGGGCAGACAAGGAGTATCCCAAACTAGCAGATGTTTGGGAGGCATTCAGGTTTGGGGGCAGGTGCACAGCACCTTG